TTAGACTTATTCCTAGGTATCTTATGGTTTTTGGTATAATTGTAAATGGGATTGACTCCTTGATTTCTCTTTCCTCACTTCATTATTGGTATCTAGAAATGAAACAGATTTCTGTACATTGATTTTGTATCCTGCAGCTTTACTGAACTCATGTATGAGTTCTCGTAATTTTTTTAGTGGAGTCTTTGGGTTTTCTATATAGAGTATCATGTCATCTGCAAATAGTGAAAAGTTTGACTTCTTCCTTGCTGATTCAATGCATTTGATTTCTTTTTGTTATCTGATTGCTAATTACTGTGGCTAGGACTTCCAGTATTGTGTTAAACATCAGTGGTGAGGAACACCTGGATAGCTCAGTAGTTGAGCATCTGCCTTTGCTCAGGACATGATCCCTGTCTGGGGATCAAGTCTTACATCGGCCTCTCTGTGAGGAGCCTACTTCTCCCTCTGCCTATGTCTCTGCCTCTCTTTGTGTCTCTCATTAATAAATAAATAATTTTTAAAAAATTTAAAAAATAAACACCAGTGGTGAGTGTAGACATCCCTGTCTTGTTCCTGACAGTAGAGGAAAAACTCTCAGTTATTCTTCATTGAGGATGATACCAACTGTGGGTCTTTCATATGTAACCTTGATAATGTTGAGGTATGTTCCCTCTATCGCTACTTTGTTGAGGGTTTTTATTAAGAATGCTGTTGTACTTTGTCAAATGCTTTTTCTGCATCTATTGAGAAGATCATATGGCTCTTGTCCTTTCTTTTATTAATGTGATGCATCACACTGATTTGCAAATATTGAACCACACTTGTAGCCCAGGAATAAATCCTACTTGACTGTGGTGAATAATTCTTTTAATGAACATTTGGATTCAACTGGCTAGAATTTTTGCAGCCATGTTCATCAGAGATATTGGCCTATAGTTATTTTTTTAGTGAATTCTCTGTCTGGTTTTGGAATCTGGGTAATGTTGGCCTCATAGAATAAGTTTGGAAGTTTTCCTTCCATTTCTATTTTTTGGAGTTGTTTGAGAAGAGTGGGTATTTACTTCTTTAAACATTTGGTAGAATTTACCTGTGAAGCCATCTGGCTCTGGACTTTTGTTTGTTGGGAGATTTTTGATTACCAATTTAATTTCTTAGCTGGTTGTGGGTCTTTTCAAGTTTTCTATTTCTTCCTACTTCAGTTTTGGTAGTTTATATGTTTCTAGGAATTTATCCATTTCTTCCAGATTGTCAAGTTTGTCGGCATATAGTTTTTCATATATTCTTGTATAATTGTTTGTCGTTTTGTGTTTTTTGTTGTTATTTTTCTTCTCTCATTTGTGATTTTATTTATTTGGGTCCTTTTTCTGATCTTTTTGACAAGTCTGGCTAGGAGTTTATCAATTTTATTTACTTATTTTTATTTTTTGTGAAGAACCATCTCCTAGTTTCTTTGAAAAGTAGAACATCTACTTTTTTTTTTTAGTTTCTAGATCATTTATTTCTGCTCTAATCTTCATTATTTCTCTTTTGTTGGCTTTGGTTTTGTTTATGTTCCTTTTCTAGCTCCTTTAGGTGTAAGGGAAGGTTGTGTATTTGAGATTTTTCTTTCTTCTTGAGTAAAGTTTGCATTGCTATGTACTTCCCTCCTATGAACCCTTTGACTGCATCTCAAAGATTTTGGATTAGCATGTTTTCATTTTCATTTGCTTCCATGTATTTTTTTTTAATTTCTTAATTTCCTGGTTGAGCCATTCATTCTTTAGTAGGATGTTCCTTAACCTCCATGTACTTGTGATCTTTCCAATATTTTTCTTGTGGTTGACTTCAAGTTTCATAGCATTGTGGTCAGAAAGGATGCACGGTATGACCTTAATCTTGTTGTGCTTATTGAGGCCAGATTTGTGACCCAATATGCGATCTATTCTAGAGAATGTCCCATGTGCACTTGAAAAGAATGTGTATTCTGCTGCTTTAGGATGAAATGTTCTGAATATATCTGGTAAGTACATCTAGTCCAGTGTGTTATTCAAGCTATTGTTTCCTTGTTGATTTTCTGCTTTGATAATCTGTCTGTTGCGGGAGTGTGGTGTTAAAGTCCCCTACTATTATTATCAATGAGTTTCTTTTTGTTTGTTAATTGCTTTATATATTTGGGTGCTCCCAAGATGGGGGCATAAATATTTACAATCATTAGATCTTGTTGGATAGTCCCCCTCTTTATGATATAGCGAAGGGTCATATTTACTGTAGATATTTTAGAGCAACTGCTCATAGGAAAAACATTAAACTAGTTTCCAACCTAGCAACTGCTTAGGGAAGTTCTATGAAAAGAGACTGTATTAGTCTGCTTTACTAGAGAAATGAAACAATCTCAAATTTCTTATTAACTACAACAAAGGGTTATTCCTTGTTCATGGTGCTTTTACTCTGCCATGGTTCCAGACTTTAGACAGGCTGAAACTTTGATACATGTGTTTTTCATTTTAGGTCTCAGGCTGAAGGAGCAGCCCTTTTATGAACATGTTCATTCTCAAGGTAGACAAAAATGAGAGATCCATAGTAAAATGCAATGTTTCTCAAAGTGACTTTGGCATGTTCTGACTTCTATTCACATTTAATTGGTCAAAAAAATCATGACCTAAATCCAAAGTCATTCATTGGGCAGGAAAGTATTCTCTTTCCATAGGCAAAGTGGAAGACAGTAAATATTTGCACACATTAATATATCAACTCTCATGGTTTTCTCTCACATTTTTTTACAGCCTTTTATTATCAAAATTGATGACATTGATTTGATATCCTACAGGAAGAATTTTACTATCAAGAGTTCAAGCATTCCCCAGTTTTGCTCTTAACCCTTGCCAATACCTAAAACTCAGTCAGTTATTTATTTTCTTCTGGTGAAAATGCTGAAGTCATCACATAAGGCTCACACAAAGGCCTGTGAAATTCCCCATACCATACCTTACCATAACATACCTTGCTCCATACCTTAAAGATTATTCAGAGTACATACTACATACATACTAACATGATTATAAGAAACCAGAGATTTAAGCTTGAGATATCTTGCCCTAAGGTTCAGTCTTGTCCAAAGATTTATGTGAGTACTATGTGATGAATTGTTTAAAGAGGGTAGGGTTGATGAAATCCACTGTTGTGTTACCACCATCCCTCAAACACTTATAGTCTCATGCAATGTATAATTTATCTTTAAAGAGTATCTTCCACTTATTACAATAATGATTTATGTCTGTGCATTTTAAAAAATATTTTATTTATTATTCATGTGAGTCAGAGAGAGAGAGAGAGAGATAGGCAGAGACACAGGCAGATGGAAAAGCAGGCTCCATGCAAGGAGCCTGATGCAGGACTCAATCCCAGGACTCCAGGATCATGCCTGGGCCAAAGGCAGGCACTAAACTGCTGAGCCACCAAGAGATCCCTCTGTGCATGTTTTGTGTATAGTCACACATGTTCCACATTCACAATGTTCTGCAAATTTGTAAAATTTATTCCTAAATAATATTTATTTAGGAAATGTATCCCTACAAGAAAAGAATATTTAAAATATTGTTTCAGCCATCTAATTGAAATGCTTTTTTTAGACAAATAACAATTAATAACAATTAGAGTTTGGGAAAGTAGACCCTCTGAAAAGTGGGGCAAGTTTACTATGCTGGATACCTTTAGTTTACCCCTCCAGATTCCATCTTGTTTTCTGCCCTGCAAGGCTAATGTGTATGGATTACATCAACAGGATGCTAGGCTCTCCAGTTTCTATTTGGCAGGAGATCTGAAGGAGAGAGGAGAATAGTGTTGATTATTTCCCTGGGTCTTTCTCATGAGGTCAAATTAAGTGGGCTATATTCTTCTATCAAACTAACTCAAAGGGCCTCTCATCACTTAATTATCTTTTCATTAATGACACATTTTCCTCAGCAGCATCTAGTGACCCTAAATCCTGAATCCTGGAATTGCAATTATTCTAGAACATAAATCTCCAATATCCTTCAAGGAACATAACTGGAGGCATGATAAAATCCTGAGGATCATTTTCTAGGTGCAAAGCCTGAAGGGGAGGCACACTAGAAATATTTCCCCCTTTTTTCAGATTAATCTGTAAAAAGTATCCAATTGTCTCCAGGTATTTTGCCTTCCTGAAATTCCATAGCAGTGTGACATTCAGGCTGTTTCTTAGTTTCTTCCCTAAGCAGACTACAAGATAAAATCTTAACAAAGCTTTTTCCGCTAGTGTCAAAGGCACTCTTTGAGATGTTCACAGAGGATGATAATATATCTTTATACTTAATCACATCTTTATATTTTGTTGAATGACAGGCTTCAACTTCAAATTCCATTTTTGTACAGATTGATAAACTCATAGATTTAAATAACTTTGACTTTTGTTAGCAGCATAATTTCAAGACCTAGAGACAAAAAGGAACCATGTCATAGGTAATATTTTGATCATATGCAAAATGACAAGAGTTTCAAACTATTTTTTCCTATTTTTGAAACAGAGTTTTTTACCACAATCACCACTATTACTAGGTGGCTAAAAAAGTAATATATAGATCTGCCTCTGGATATTACAGGCATCATTTAAAGAACAGAATATATTACAACTTTCTTGGCCTCACAGCCTTCTCCCTTTGCTCCTATACAAAGGGTTCTTGCTGGTCTAACTTGCCCATGCAGTTCCAGAGGTACAGATAAATCACCTTTAAGTGAGGGTTTCTAATAAGAGCACTTGAGTCATGAAACAGCATCTGTGTTTTGTGTGGATTTTACAGTTGAAATGAGAAGCAAAAGTAAAAGTAAAGGGCTTCGTTTACTATACATAACTATTGAATAGCAGTTAATTCCAGAGGCCAGGCTTAGATATCCAAGGGCTCTTTGTTTCTATCTACCACTACAAGTAGCAACAAAAAGCCTCCCTTAAGCTTTTACCACTTAAACCAATAGCAGTCTTTGTAAAGTTAATCATTAGCCTCATACAGCTCTACAGACTTCTTTTGTCTTCTTAATGCTTAAAACAGATTATCTTGGCTGACTGAACAATACAGAGAGGGAAATTTCCAGTAACCGATTTCTGTAGAAACAAAATCTGGACCTCTAGTTCTTCAAGACAGGCATCTGGTAAGTAATTCATCAACTTTAAAGTGCCCATATTTTGTATAAAACTAAATTTAACAACTGAAAAATTAGAAAATGAGAAATGGAAAATTCTAGTGTGGATGTTTTGTTATAAAAACAGAAATATTCAGAAATTCTTAGGTCCAGATTTTCTATCATAAATTCACAGGATTATTTTTTATATTTAAGTTTGTGTGAGGTAGTCTGCTAATTTTAGCTTCATAAAGCTAACAATATTTTTAAAGGCTATTAGTCTTCCATCTTCTCAGTATTTCTGTTTAGTTCAAAGAAATATTCTTGTATGGTTCGCTGCTAGGTTAAATTCTTTAAAAATCTTTATGTAACAATATGAAGATCAGATCTATATACAATCAGATACAAGTCAGCTTTGGTTTACTTCTTGAGATTACCAAAGAATTGTATTGTATAGATAGATGTTAGACAAATGCATTTTCCATTGATAACTACCTTATTTTTTTTCAAAAGTAATTTGATTATGTGGCATGTTTTTCACTACAATACATATGTGATCTTTTTTATCTTTAGAGAACCACTACAGTAATGTGTTCTTCAATTTCTAGAAATTTATTACTTTCTTAAAGGTATCTTTTTTTTTTAAGATTTATTTATTTATTCATGAGAGACACACACACACAGAGAGAGAGAGAGAGAGAGAGAGAGAGAGAGGCAGAGACACAGGCAGAGGGAAAAGTATGCTCCATGCACAGATCCTGATGTGGGACTCGATCTCGGGACTCCAAGATCACGCCCTGGGCTGAAGGCAGACACTAAACTGCTGAGCCACCCAGAGATCCCCTCTTAAAAGTTTTGAAACAAAATTTGAGATATGTTATTTTTTTTTTAAATGCACTCTCTATAATCACTTCAGAATGGTCTTTTCTATATCTATTTGATTTATTATCAAAGCAATATTCTAAGAACCCCACATCAGTAGAGAAGTTATTTTACATCATTAAATTGTAGGAATAAGAATATTTAGCATTATATTTTAATAACAGATAAAAAGCCAAATATTTTAAATTGAAGCAATTCTAGTAAGTCAGATTAATTTATTTAGGCTAATTTCTGTGACCAGTCAATACAAGTTTTTAAGTGGATAAATGTTTACAGTCACTTTCATTTTTCTAAAAAGATAGAAATATTTTCCTCAGGTGCATGAACATTTATAAGCCCAAGTGTTCTGAAAATGTGCCAAAATTATATTTTTACATTTTGGTATGTAGATTTTTAGTTATCAATATTTATAAAACTATATTGAACTTCACTTTTATTATATCCCCCACTGAATATGGGGACAAGTAATTGAAGCCCGTGATATTATATGACACCTAAATTTCCAGATATACTCAAAGACAAAAAGAAGCATTTTATGTGGTTAAAAAAAAGTTCACTTGGGGTCGCATGACTCACTTAGAATTTTGTGATAGCTCAGAGTACGCAGAGGGTATTTTTCAACAACAATTGGACTCTGTTTTCTTTGGAATGTTGGCAAATTTATATCTTTCTTCATTGCATCTAAGAGCAACTTCCTCTTGTGTTCTGAAACTTGATAGAAATAAACTTGAAAGAGTTTGAAATTGATTTCAAAAGTCTTTAGGAAGTAGCTTTCCAAAGCTTTTATAAATTTGTAGAATACTTTCAAGGATCTGTGTCCAGGCAGAACCTAATATGTTCCAGTCTAAGATGCACAAGTAAGACAAAGTCATCTACTTCTATGAAGGACTGAAGCTTTACTAAGCTTCACAATGTACACATCTCATCGAATCTCATAGTACCACATCCTGAGAATAGACTTTAGAGAGGAGGAGGAGGAGTAGTGGAGAAAACACTAATCTTCCCTAGAGAAAAGAAACTCAATGTTTTGGAAAAGATTTATTGATAAGGGATCTGACATTGCCCAGGTAATTTTCTTTAGGTCTCATCCAGCTCACTATGGACAACTGTGCTCTTGGAAATGTGGATTTAAGGCTTGATATAACTCCAGTCTTCTCAAGTTAGCAGAAATCAATACTTTCAGCCTGTATAAATGTCATTATTTCTCAAAGACTGGGAATTTTGTATCCTAGCCTCCAAAGAATGTTTTGCTACAAAAATTACATTTCTCATGGAAGTTGTAGACAGACAAGGAAGAAGGAAACATTTTAAAGGGGAATGATGAAATGCTTCTGTTAACAGAAGTGCTTGAATTGGTTTAACATTCAGACAGAATAAATATATATGTGTATATATCATACACATATCATATATCAATTTTTATTTTTTATTTTTATTGATTGATAGATTGATTGATAAGACACACACACACACAGAGAGAGAGAGAGAGAGAGAGAGAGAGGCAGAGACACAGGCAGAGGGAGAAGCAGGCTCCATGCAGAGAGCCCTACGCGGGACTTGATCCTGGGTCTCCAGGATCACACCCTGGGCAGAAAGCGGTGCTAAACCGCTGAGCCACCCAGGCTGCCCCATATATCAATTTTTAAAGGATGAGTTTAGAGACAGAAAACAAATAGAGGCCAAAAAAATAACAATGCTATTATTTCATAAGATAGGAGTCAAAACAAAAATGATGAAGTAAGGGAAGAAGCAAGATGGTGGAAGAGTAGGGGGTCCTCCTTTTCTCTGGTCCCCGAAACCTACCTAGATAACTTTCAGACCATCCTGAACATCAATGAATTCAACCTGAGATGTAAAGTGAGAACAGCTGGAATGCTACAGAGAGAAAAATGATCACTTCTGATAAAGTAGGAATGTGGAGAAGAGAAACAGAGGGGATATATCAGAAGATAAATGTAGGGGAGGAGGGTAAAGAGCCTCTATAAGCTGCTGCAGGAAAGAAGTGCAGCATATAATCAGGACCTTTAGAATTTGCTCCTGAGAAAGTCTCCCCTGCCTGAAAAGTGCTCAGTAGGGAAATAGGGAAGAATCACAGGAGGTCAGTGAAGTCTCAGTATCTCAGAGACACGGTAAGAATAGGGGCACCAGGAAGAAAGCTCAACTTGTGTCATAAACTGCAAACCGAGGTCAGGTTGTGGGACTGATGATGTCCTAGGTCCTGGTAAAGGACTGGAACACAGCAACCCTCCCAGGTCATCTGGAAGAGGTGTACCGGATGCACAGTCCATAGTCTAACAGTTGAGCACTCTCTACTCCAGGGCTTGGCAACAAACAGAATTGGTCTATCCTCTGTTCCCTCCAGGAGAGGCAAAACCAGGGAGTGCACAGGATGATGAAAGTTCTCCCACTGTTAGCTGCCCTCCAATTTGTATGAATCAGGGCCCCCACGCCTGCCCCCAGGAGGATCTGAGCCAGTGTGCACTGAGAAACTGCAGTTCAGTACACATGGGGAGCTCTTGGCTCCGGGGCTAGAGATCTGGCCACTGCCATTTTAATTTTATTTCTTTTCGCATTTCAGCTGGGAGAGGTGTGGCCTCTAGGGAACAAAGGTCTCACAGGATAAACAGCTCACACTGAGCCCAAAAAGAGATGGGATATCTCTACCCAGGCACAGACACCTGAGAGTCAGTATAGCAGGCCCCTCCTCGAGAAGGCCAGATGGAAAAACAAGGGATGAGCAAGTTTACCGACCAAGCAGCCCTGGAAACTCCAGGACTGAGGAAAAATAGTATATAGATCTCAAGGTTTCTTCCTTATGACTTGTTTATCTTTTAGGTTAAAAATTTCCAATATTGGGATCCCTGGGTGGCGCAGCGGTTTGACGCCTGCCTTTGGCCCAGGGCGCGATCCTGGAGACCCGGGATCGAGTCCCACGTCGGGCTCCCGGTGCATGGAGCCTGCTTCTCCCTCTGCCTGTGTCTCTGCCTCTCTCTATATATATATGACTATCGTAAATTAAAAAAATAAAAATTAAAAAAAAAATTCCAATATTCTTTCATGCAGCCAAGAATACTTTACCTGGCACAGCTGTCATTTAGAATAGAAGGAGAGATAAAGAGCTTCCAGGATAAACAGAAACTGAAAGAATATGTGACCACCAAACCAGCTCTGCAAGAAATATTAAGGGGGACCCTGTAAGCAAAGGAGGGAACCCAAGGAAACAATCCTCAGAAACAGGGACTATATAGGTAATGCTATGACACTAAATTCATAACTTTTTAAATAGTTACTCTGAATGCGAATGGGCTAATGATCCCATCAAAAGACACAGGGTATCAGACTGGATAAAAAAGCAAGATCCATCTATATGCTGTCGACAAGAGATTCATTTTAGACCTAAGGACATCTCTAGACCGAAAATGAGGCAGTGAAGAACAATTTTTACCATGTATATGGTCCTCAAAAGAAAACTGAAGTAGCAATCCTCATATTGGATAAATTAGATTTTAAACCAAAGATTGTAGAAAGAGATGAAGGGGGACACTAAATCATATTTAAAAGGCCTATCCAACAAGGAGACCTAACAATTATGAATATTTATGCCCCTAATGTGGGATCAGCCAATTATATCAATCAATTGATTACCAAAGTAAAGAGATGCATAATAATACACTAATAGTAGGAGACTTCAACACAGCACTCTCCACAAAGCACAGATCTTCTAAGCAGAGGATCACCAAAGAAACAAGAGCCTTGAATAATGCACTGAACCAAATGGAATTCACAGATATATACAGAACATTCCACCCTAATACAACTGAATACACATTCTTCTTCAGTGCACATGGAATTTTCTCCAGAGTAGACCACATACTGGGTCACAAATCAGATCCTAACTGATACTAAAAGATTGGGATTATCCCCTGCATATTTTCAGACCACAATGCTTTGAAACTAGAATCAATCACAAGAAGAAATTTGGAAGGAACTCAAACACTTGGAGATTAAAGAGCATCTACTAAAATATGAATCGGTCAACCAAGAAATTAGAGAAGAATTAAAAAGTTTCATGGAAACTAATGAAAATGAAAGCATAACTGTTCAAAATATTTGGGATACAGCAAAGGCAGTTCAAAGAGGGAAATACA